TCATTAATTACTTGTAATTACAAATTATCCCTAACGTGGAAGAGGGATCAGTCTGGGTCAGGATGTAACAGCAGGTCACAATGTCATTCTTTTGAGTTGTCACACATGGAGTCACAGTCTATGAGCTGCAGGTAAATCATCTGTTGCTGTCCTCAGGTTGAAGTCTGAGTTCCAGCTCAGTGTCGGGATATCTTTGATTTTACTGTTGGTAAAGTATTTGGTAGAAAACTGTCACACATGTACAGAATTTTCAGTAATTAGGAAAATTATAGGCTATTAGTTATTTGGACAGTTTGATTAGGCTGCCATTAGTTTAGATTTAGTCTTTTGTATATTAGTGCATAATTAGGTATTGCACGATGTTTGATGTTCTGTCCAATCTCACGTGAATAACAAAGATCGCTGTGGTGGGTTTGCCTGAATGAAGTCATGAGGAGCATTAATGGAAAAGTGATGTATGTCTGAAAGACAGAATGCAATCACTTTAACAGATTGATGAAGGCAGCAATGTATCCCACATATAAAAAGGGGCTTAACTATCAGTATTACATACATCACACCCACCTTCATGGGATAAAGAGATAACCACCAGTAGTGCATCTTATTTTCTGCGATTTTCCAGTGGGTATAACATCAAAGTCACTTTGTTTGAAGGCCAAACTACAAGTCAACAAACCCAAATGTAACAGAAAGTCATAATTCTTCACTGCACACGGAAGTGTGTCCCTTAAGTTGAATTTTACCTTTGCTTCTCTTTTCTTTTTTCATAACTTCCATGATCACAGAGCTACTTGACTGGTCTTTAATGATGTCACCACATGCCCAGATGTCAGCAATTAACTTGATGACTACAATCTTATTATAATCCGTCAGCATAACAGCTTAAAAACTACAAAAACAAGATTTCCAATAAAATAAATTTGCTTTTAAAAGCGGAATTATTAGCTGATGCTGGAGAGCTCTGCCATAAATTCTACTTTATGAAGCTTCCACGTTTTCAGTTTTTGTTGGTGTTGTAAAAAAGGTTATGATTCTACTTTCTGTTTATTATTGAGGTCATAGTGAGTGGTGTTCTGGACTGCACTGCATATATGTGTGTGTGTTTGAGGGTGTCATTTTACTCTGAAGTTAAAGCATTGCACAAAAACAAATTAGATTTAAAAAAAAAAAAAAAACAGGAATTATACAATCCTAAATTTTGAATTGAATCTAACTTGTGGCATTCTTTCTACAATGAAAACAAAACACTGTTTGGAAAGTTTGTTCCAACAGTGTTGCCAAAGTTCCCACAAAACTCAATGGGATTTAAGTCTGACTGGAAAAGCCTACCATCTAGCAGTTTTCCTTTTAGGTTTGGGGTCATTATCGTGCTGTAGTATAAACTCCTGACCAACCCTTCTGTTTCTGCCTTTTTCTCACCATTCTGACAGTTATATACAGCAGCATTTCCTACAGTACAGTATTGTTCTACGGCATTAGAGGGTTTAGGAACTGTTTGTTTTAACATGGCCTTTTTACAGAAGGTTTGTAAGCAATCACCAAAAGTTAGGGCATCTGCAGGAATTGTTTGCTTTAACTTTCAAGGCTAAATTTAGGTCCATTGTATTGCATTAAATTCCACTGTAGAAAAGCTTTAAGATTTTGATCCCTGAAAAAGGCCTGTTTTGTATGTATCTTGTTTTGTACACCTCAGTTTACTGCTTACCTTTTTACCGTTTAAGGTTATTCCCCAGACCTGTACTGCTTACACACTCAAGAGAACTGTATTAACTTCATAGCATTCATTCAAATGTGTCTGTTATCATCTTCCAAGCTTTCTACTCCCATGATCAAAACCTTAAGCTTAATAGAATCAAAACCCACATCCAACGTCATATCAAAGCCACATGGTCCACCAGGTCCTTTTAAAACATCAAACATTTCACGATACATATATAATTTAATTAAAGTCTCCAGCAAATTCTCTGAAACTGCAACTGCACTGTCAAGTTGTTTCAATTCACAAATGGTACAAATTCTTAAGGATCACACAGTTTTTTTTTGAATCGGTGCTACTTTTCCTGCTCGAGTGTCTCCTCAGCCCTCACGGACTGTAGGCAGCGCACTGGAAATCCAGTCAGAAACAACATCCTGTCCCTGGGCCTCTAGGAAGTGACCTCAGCTTCAGAAAGGCCAGATAAAAAGTCCACATCAGAAACAAAAACATCAGGCTGGCTGTAATGAGCTATCCGCCAGGCTCCAGTGTGTTCTGAGGGAGACCAGGTGGTGTGACACACATATGAATCTGATTAGGGGGCCTTCAGATCAACAAGAGGAGACAGAGGGCAGTGGGGTGGGCTGTACAGGGCCAATCAGGACGTTTGTGTATGAGGCAACCATTAGTGGTGTTCAGTGACCTCCATCAGGCCCAGGAACGCTCATGTACTCCTGAGTGGTCAATTTGCAATTTGTGTGTTAAGTACAGAGGTGAGGTTTGGGCATTGTTTTCATGTAAGAAGCAACATGTGAGCAGCCTCAGTGGCTAATATTCCGACATACTCATGCTACTCCCATAGACTGTATAAAAGATGGACGTAGCAACTGGCCCTGAAAAATGAAGCCAACCCGGAAGTGTCAAAAACCTGCAATATCACTGTGTCCACCCTGGCTCCCATAGACTTGAATTGGAAAAGAAGTGATCACAGATCACGAAATACCGCATTCCTACAGCTCAGGATTTTTTTTCTTATTAGTTTTCATTGTCAAGCCCAGAGATCAGGTGGCCAATCTGAAAATAAATCAATACAGAATTTTTTAAAAATCGTCAAAATTTTGCGGGGCAAGGGGCGTGGCTGGCTTGATTGAGGGTCAGCAGCGACGAAGCAGACGAAGCGAGCAGAAGGCGGTAAATGTGGGCAGGCAGAGAGGGCCTGCCTCTCAATCCGTCTGACCAATCGCTGCTCCTATGGCTCCGCCCCCCTCCGACAATTTTTGCGTCATTGGCTCCAAAAATCCAAGACGTCAACCAGGAAGTAGCAAAACCCTGGCTTAATTTTCTCTGTGCAGAAACCAATGAGTGATGTCACGGCAGCTACGTCCATCTTTTATACAGTCTATGGCTACTCCACAAGGTTTAACCTTCTGAACCCCGAAACCCTCTGGAAGGTTTGAAATACATGTCATGTTTTAGAAATCTAAAGCAAAGTTGCACGACTTATCATAGGAAGAAACTGTACAAACAGGAAGAATTGCTAGATATGCAAAATTCAGACACATAATCATATGTGACTATTGGATTTATCGGGGAAAACAATCAAATCTAAGCTTGAAATTACAAAGTTAAAACAAAATCAATTTATATATATATATTTTTAAATGTCAAATGTAAGTCACTTGGTTTTACCACTTTGCATATTTAAAAAAACAAAAACAAAAAAACTAAATTAAAACCTGGTCTCATTGGCACAACTGAGGATCAATGAGCGACTCTGCTTGGACCAACAGTCACAAGACAAAAAATTCAGAGACTTTAAGCTGAACTATAGGTTATGTTTATACAGATAGGAGACAAGTATAAACCCAAATTTTAAATATTAAAGTATATATAGCATGCAGAGTCACCAGACAAGTTGATTCTATTTTTTCCCTCATTTTTGTATCATGAATAATCTAAGAAATTCAACTTTTGTTTTTGTCTTTTCTATGATTCATGGCATTATAACTTTGTTATACTGCCCTAAAAAAAAAAGATGAGTTCTCTCTACTTCTAGCCATGGTTGTACTGTTTCAATAGCGGTGCAGGAATTTTTATTGCAGTAAAAAAATAAGCCCACAGTGAGTTGGGGTTCAGGGGGTTAAATGCTGCTATGTGGAGAAAAACTCATAGTCTCTACATTGAATGTAATACGGGGCATAGAGCACACACGCTCGCACACATACACGAAAGTTATAGCATTTAATTAGACATTTGGTCAGTCAGTTGCTGCCACAGCCAACTACTCACAGGAAAGTCAAACCCTCAGACTAGACACTGAGGACACCGCATGTGTCCTCTATGTCTCTCACCCATCTCTCTCTCTACCCTCATTAAAAGACAGAGGTTTTTGGCACTCGTGTCTGTCGACTCATAATCATACTTCTGTACTGCAAATATCCCGAAACCGCACAAGTGAGAGATGTCAAGGGCACTCCTGGCCTCATTCCTCAACAGTTTCATCCTAGTGCATTGTGCTGCATTTGACTGGACTGTTTAAATGTCTCCTGATATCGGGCAACACAAACAAGCAGACCTGCCGGCCTGGTGGAGAGGATAAGGAATGAAGGGGAAACAGAGGCCATTCTTCTCCTTGTGTGACGGGAATTGTGTTGGAACAAGCACCTGTCACCCCCAAACAATGACCACAGAGGTCGGGCAGCGAGACAGAGACAAGTAGGAGAAGGAGTGAGGAGAAAGAGGATACCAAACAGGTAAAAAAAAAAAAAAAAAAGAAAATGGATCAGTTTGTCTAACTCACTTCCCCTTCTCGCTCTTCCTTCCTCTCTGCCTCAAACAATTTAATCTCTGCAAATTGCATTCCAAAAACAGGCACATGTTACAAAGCCGGGGTCTTACTGCTTCATACAAACAGCTGCATATCATCTGCATAAATGGTTTGCATTGATAATAAGGTGAACCAGCTGCTGAGGCTATCCTATTGGCCTTTACCTTCAACCGCCACATTCCTTTTCCTCCCCCATCACCTTCATCTGTTCCCTGCACCAACTTGACATCTACTTTTTTAAATAGACAAAGAGCAGCAGCATCTCAGTGTCCTTCAGACTCCTTCACATACCCTCTATACAGCCAGAAAAAAAAGGAATGCTGGGCACAGCACAATCCCACACATACAACATGAAAAGAGACTCAGAAAGAGAGAGGAAAAAAAACAAACTTTGTAACCTCAATTCATTGTCCTCTGCAATGACAGTCAGCCCGCTCTGTCGGTTTCAACCGTGAATCACTCCGAATGTGTGCGCCTTACCTCTCTGTCCTTTAACTTCATGGCCAGAACCAGCTGGTTGCGATGGTTGGTCAGCGCTTCACGGTAATTCCCCTTGGAGAAGAATGCCGAGCCCAGATTTCCATGAGCACGGCATTCCCCTGTTTGGTCACCTGGAGAAGAAAAAAGAAAAAAAAAAAAACCCAGAAGAGATGAGAATAGAAACGTATAGAGCTAACACATAATATTTACAGCACAGTCTGCAGGATTACAAACCAACTGGTGTTTATTTCACATCATCCCGCTGCCACTCTTGAACAGTGATGTGATGAACCACATCTATGCCACTGACATGCCACTGCACCCTTAAAAGGGAAAGTGGCCGTTATAAGTTCTCCACAGTAGAGCGGCTTCCCTGACAGCTGGTAGTGTTGATCTCAATGCTCCAGAGGGTGAGAGGGGAAAGCCTTATTATTTCTGCCTGACAGAGAGGCCCCACAGACAGGGCCAAAGTAAAGCGCAAGTCTCTGTGCTCCACCTGAGAACCGCAGCTCCTTATCTCCAGCTGCTCTGCCCAGTCATGTGTCAAAATGTGTGGGGGTGAAAAGAGTGGAGCCAGTCTGTGCTACTCTCTGTTTCCATTTTTTTTTTTTCCCAATCTTACCTTCCTAAGTTTTTCCCATCCTCAACTGTATTTCTTTGAAATTGTCTCCCCTCTTCCGATTTTAATCCCAATACAGCAAATCTATACTTACAGTCAGCAGCATCTATTTCTAAGCAAAGAAATTAGCGTCAACTTCTCGCATTGTTGAATAATCGTCAATGATCGTGCATGACACAAAGGGAAAAACAACGAAAAACTATACTGGAATTCATTAAGAAACACAAGGACAAGGGTCTACAGCTGCACTAGTTGCTATGTGGCCGCACAGAACCAGACCTGTCTGGAGGACGGTCTGTACGTACCCATTATCATTCTGCTATAAGGAAGAAAATGGTCTTAAAATGAAACCGTGTGACAGCTTCAGAGAGAAAGATTACTGTTAGATGGAGCTGTTAACATATCATAGACATGTGAAATGTGATGTGGACGCACATTTCCTTTCATGATTCATCAGAGGCCGAAAACGATGGAAACCGCTGATTTAATTTGCAATAATGGGTTCTATTGTAAAAGCGTGTTGTACTATCTATAGTGTAACAATTTCATGTTAAAAGTAACTACAAGACGCCCCTATAGCTCATGTAGTTGAGCGGGCGACCCATGAACAGCGGCTATCGTTCCCTGAAGCAGCGTTCGTGGGTTCAACTCCTGCTCACGACTCTTTGCTGCAGGTCTTTCCCCATTCTTCTCCCCTCTTTCCTGTCTATCTCTACTGCTCTAAATAAAGGCAAAAAGCCCCAAAAATATATTGAAAAAGTAACCATAGCTGCCAAATAAATGTACTAGAGTAGAAAGGACAATATTTCCTTCTGAAATGTATTGAAGTAGAAGTATAGTCGCATAAAATTGAAATAAAGTACAAGTAGCTTACCTCTAAATGATACTGAAGTACAGTACTTAAATAAATGTACTTAGTTACTTTCCACCATTGAAAATGCACAGAGGAAATGAGAGCCGTACACCCACAGTCTACACTGGGGTGTTGGACTTGCTGCTACTTTAGGCACAGTGGTGCTTTTATTGAGCTAAATGCTACCATTAGTATGTTATGTTACTTGAACTGATAATGTTAATATGCTGGCATTTATCAGACAAAATATTTACAATTGTCAGTTGAATGTCAGCAACCTAACCTTTGCAAGATACGTTCTAAACATTAAGTATAATTACAGCTAATGGAAATGTCATTGGTTTGTAGGCATTTGGTCAAAAACCAAAATGACAGACAACTTATATCACACTTTGACCTGTTATTTGGCACTGGAGGAAAAGTCAGGCAACAACCTTCATCATACAAAATCTAATGAAAATCATTCCAATAGATTTTTTTAGGATATTTAATTGATCACTGGCTAAAATTAATCCAAATGATTTCCCACACATTAGTTTACAAATGATAAAATATTCAAACGTTTCCAAACGTTATCTTCTGAAAATCTAATAATCCTCGTGACCCGACAGAAGATAAAGAAGTGTGTAGAAAATGGATTGATGGATTGTTGAATCCAGTACGTCATTCTGTTATTTGGCATTGATAATTGACTCTGGGACCCAACTGTATGTGAATCCATCCATCCATTATCTATACACCGCTTAATCCTCACTGGGGCCGCTGGGGGTTGGAGCCTATCCCAGCTGACTCAGGGTGAAGGCAGGGGACACCCTGGACAGGTCACCAGTCTATCACAGGGCTACACTTAGAGACAGACAACCAAGCACACTCACATTCACACCTACGGACAATTTAGAATCACCAATTAACCTCAACATGTTTTTGGACTGTGGGAGGAAGCCGGAGAACCTGGAGAGAACCCACGCTGCACAAGTAGAACATGCAAACTGCACATAGAAAGCAGCCCTGTGATTAAACAGTTACTTAAAAAACGAATCAACACATTAATAGATAATTGAGTAATAGAAGTTGAAGCTATATTATTATTCCCTCCTCCCCAGGCAGGGGGTCTTACCTAAGGTCTTGGCCACCTCTAAGTCCTGCTGCATGTAGCTGGTGCTCTTCTCTGTGTTGCCCAGGGACCAGTGGGCGCTGCTGAGGGCCGAGAAGACGGAGCCGCGTAGCTTGAGGCTGCATGTGCCGATCTTCAAAGCGGCTTCCAGCACCACAACAGAGGCGGTGTGGTGGCTTGCTGTCAGCAGCTCCTGGCCAATCACAGACACCACCACAAACGGACTTTTGTCCAGCTTCATCTTTTGCAGCTGCTGATAGGTGGGCTCGAGAGAATCTGTGCAGGAAGGACATGAGTAAGACTGAGATTAGAAACAGACTGCGAAATATGCCAAAACATAACTTTGTGCTGACACAGTGACTGACAGCAACACATGACACTGATTGCGGTAACGGCGTTTACCAACTCTGACAAAGGTGACTGCTGTCTGAATTCAGATTCTACTTTTCTCCAGTAATGGTTGTGTTTTGTCTGCCTCGATAAGCATAGCCTGTAGCCTGACTGAGTGACGGCTTTCACCGACAATTTAACAATAACTCAATATAGGAGCCATTTTTCTGTTCTTCCACTCTGACTGGGGTAATCTCAGACATTTTCCAACTGCGCTGCATAAAAATGGCACAAGTTTAGACCATTGTGGGCAACTGGCTTTACAAACCACAGAGCGAAATTATATTTCTGCCTTTTCTTTCAGGCGATAACGGCTGTGTGAGAGAGAAAAGACCGATGAGAAGGTTTAGCGATAGAGTTTAAAGAGTGACGGGGAAATGAATGCAGCTAATGCACAACAGTAGCGGCGGCGGAGGAATGCAGAGCAAAGGAGACACGCAAGGTGACCTCTGAAGAGGCTGAAAATGCACACAATGACATAAATCAATGGTGGGCCGCGTGGGATTCGGGATCCACAGCCCCTCCAGATTACAAAGCCCTCTGGCAGACACCAGCATCGAACCACATGAAGGAGGGGGCAAGGAAGGCATGCCCAAGTATATGTGTGTCTTTGAGTCTATTGATGCATTTGTGTGCCTTTGTGTATATACTTGAATTCCTGTATAGGATTGTATCTGGGGAATGAGTAATTGTCCTGGCCCTGTGTTTGCAAATATTTTGGGGGGGGATTTGCTATTAATTAGGTCAAATCACTTTACAGAAGCTTGCATGGTGCTGCTGCGCCTGTGTGGTCTCATGTGTAGCCTACATTTTATCAAAAGGCCCAGGCTTTCATAAAGTGTTTCATCTGTTTAGACAAACATTTAGGCACAACAAGTACACAGTCACAATATCTGAACAAACTCAATATTTCTTGGAAAGCCACACACACACACACACACACACACACACACACACATAATGTGAGATGCATCCTCACAAAAGCACTCAAAAGCATAACTGATGACGCTCTTTCAAGAGCATCGCTTCTGTTCCAGCACTTGGCAGAATGTCGTGCATATGGAGACAGTGCGTGCATATAATATCCATTCATAGCTTGTAATTGCCTTCAGAGTGACACCGAGAGCTGAGTCATAAATCAAACACTGAGAGAATGCTTTTTTAAAAAGGTGTCATGACTGCCGCACTCGTAAACAGGTAGTTATGACAACACCGGGGTGCGTTGTTTCACACACATACACGAGCGCGCGAGCAAACGCTGGTGCCAGTTTTTATGGAGCCTTGTATCGAGATGTGAAGCAAGAATTACAGCCTCCGTCTCATTGACATGCACACAGGTAACAACAGAAAGTCATAACAGTCATTTCACCGCCAACTTTCTTCTCTCATGCCTTCTTAGAAAAGCCTTTTTTTAATATTACTGTTGCAGCCAGTGCCACACCTTGTTGCAGTGACTGTGTAGCTGCAGAAATACATATCCCAAATGTATTCTGCCTTCCCTTTCATGTGAATAAAGACACAAGTCATGAACTCATTCTCTTGTATTTGACTGGAGAGGATATGAAATACTGTAAAACTTTAAATATGTTTTTAAATGTTAATCATTGTTTTTATGTGAGCAGCTACTACCATATAATATCCATCATCTGCCACCCTATTCAGTTACAAATAACAAATTAAATTCCATAACCAGCTGGATTTAATGTGTTCATTTGTGGTTATGAAAAGACAAACACAGGAGATGGAACAAATCCCATGAAAAACCAAACAGTTTTCCCCATCTTGCCTGTGGCACTTAGCACAAAGTCTGCTGGTTTCTACTAAAGATATAAACCTCATGTAAAAACAGATCAGGAATATATACTTACATAAACAAAAAAGCTCCTGTGTGGATACCTGTGCACTGCTGTTTTCAGCAAAGATTACTCAAACAGGCTTTTAACATTGTTTTGGTGTGCTAGAGAACATTTACCGCAGCAGGACGGTGCATGTGAGATTGATTTAAAGTAAACTACAGTACCAATGTTCTTTGTAATGAAGGAAAATGCCACCCAGTGCGGCGGCTCACTGATGTGTTTTTCTAGTTATGCAACTGAAGAATAGGGCCAGGATTATTTTCATTTTTGATTAGGGCCAAACGATTTCTCTGAAAGATATTGCAACTACCATTTGATTTGTAATAGAATATTTTAGAGGTATGCTTCAATTCAATATTCACTGTATAATTTAAAATGTGGTCAGGCATTAGCACATGAAATACTGCATAACATACATCCTACACTGCAGCAATATATGCTAATTGCATTGTTTCAAATCGTGAGTTGGATTTCAAACTTTTGCCACTTGATCTGTTGACTATTTTCTTGATTAACTTGTTTGGTATATAAAGTATCAGAGAATGGAGAAAAATCAGTGCTTCCAAACGTCTTGATTTGTCCACAACCCAAAGACAATCAAGTTACTGCTGACGCAGAGTAAAAGAAAACCTGTAAATATTCAAATTAAAGACTCTTCTTCCACACAAAATGGACCAATCGTATGCGGCCGACTTTGGTAAAGAGAAGCAAGTTGTTGTAATAGAGATCCATGAAGAAAATGAACATTTATTACTGCCAATGATGCAAGAGAGGAATGCTGTAAACTGTTAACCATGCATGTAAGTTAATATCTTCATTTTACCCCTCAGTGGACTCTTAGCACCTGCTGCTTGTTTCTAACGTGACAGCTGCATGACGGCTCACTTACACTGTAAACTTCATACATTTAAACATGAGCACATTAAGCCCAACACTGTTGTATATAATGATGGATATGTAGAAACGAACAAATGTAAAAAATGTTTGTGACTGAATATTCTCAGTGATGAATACCAATAGGCTAATCAAATTTCTAACATGTGTAATTCCAACTGTGTAAAATGGAATTGGAAGTAAATCAGAATCATGCATTAGAAGATATTTATGCATTTTCTGCATTGCCAACTGAATGCATGTAGGCAACACAACAAATACAGTTTGTTAATGCGTGGTGTTGTTCAGTGGGATTATTAACATATAGTTCAACAGGTTCGCAGATATAATGTATTCCCTCAGCTGAGAATCTATCACTCACAGACAATTTTAAGGAGCACAATTAGTGAAACGTTGATGTTTCTTAGAATCGATTTTAATCCCCAACTCTGAGCAGAACATCCTCCGGTGCAGGTTAGCTGCAGAGCATCAGTTACCATGGAGATCTAACCAGGTTAAAAGAGAGCCACCTTTGTGACATTGAAAAATCTGGCTTTGGGCTCAACATACCTCGCTAACCCATTAATCTTGCTTCGTAGTACACCCCTCCGCTGTCAGGTTAAGTTACATAACAGCCCCTGTGGTGCTCGTAGTGTTTAAGAATCAAAGGCACTTTGCTCAAAGGCACCTCAGCAGGACAGATTCTAATGAAGACAGTGCCCAGATTCTGTAGTTAAAGGACAATCTTTTAACAGCGAGTAATCCCGCCTGGGTCAATAGCTGCTGCGCTGTGAAGCAATTTCGTCTATGGTTTATCTGGAGGGATCTTCAAGTGAGAAGCACTTTTTAGTTAGCATATGTGAAAAACAATACAATAATTAAAGCTAATTGACCCGTTGGACTCTCTCCATCCCAAAGCAGCTAAATGAGGAGCAGAACTAAAGCAGGATGAACAGTAAGAATATTACCCATGTGACTGCATATATACTAAAACAAAGAGTCGGATATATGAAAATGTGAAAAGCTGATTTCCCACAGCTCGTTCAATAACACAGATGGACAATCCTGATACCGGAGGAAGAACTGTTACCAGAATGATTGGATGGAGACAGACGTACAGTAAGGAGAGGGAGGTGAGGCTGCACTAGTGAACACTTGTGTGGCAAGCCTTTGCTGAGGACTGAATTGTACATGACACAGAATTATAAAAAGAAGAATTAAACATACAATATTAAATTTTACTTTGGATACCAGGCACGCTTTGATGAATTCACTACCCACTGAGTCCTCAATGACATACATGCCTTCATATAATTCTCTGAGGTTCGTTAGCTGTCTTCTTTTGTCCTAATTTATTTATTTGCTCCGTTTGATATGCATGTCATCAGCGGGATCTCTTCAGCCGGTGGCAAGAAATAAACTTAACAACGCTTTGAAAAGAAAAAAAAAATCACAATGTGTCGAGATGTCTGTTGTTAGATAAATGACTGAGATAAGTGAGCACCGCAATCACAGCTAGATACAATCAGCTCTTTCTTGGCAGCAGGGCAGCTACACAGAAGGAAAAACTGCCGTGTGTACAGAACATATACTAGAAAAGATTTAAGTGTAATTGCGAAAGGATTACAACTTTCGAGTGTAATAAGAATGTTTTTCAAACCCAAAACAAGCCAGCAGACAGCCAAATAAGAACAATAATTTAAAGACCGCTCACACTCGAACATTTTTTACCTTGTTAACATGTCCATATGGTGCTTTTTATATGCTGGAAGATATATCATAAGCAAAATAAGCAGCTGGCAACATGGCTGAGCGTTTCTGCCTTCAGACTGCAGTGTAACTATGGCTTCAAACTAAAGGAACCAATGCTGTCAACTTGCAATGCAGGACTTTCCTTATCGTTATTCTTCCTCAGAATCAGTTTTCAGTTCAAATGTGTATAGCGGAATTCCTCCAATTTTACAACTTGAAATTGAGATGCAGCGAGCAGTGTCAGGAAGGGCGGACAAAGAGGCAGGGGCTGATCTGCATATTCTAACGGAAGCAACAGTGTGAAGTTACATCTAAGCCATTTTAAAGCAAGAGGGCAATATTTTCATGAAGAAAAAAAAATCCAAATCTGTAACTTTGATACACAGATGAGTTTTTGGAGGTTTAATCAATGAGCGGAGAGGGACTTTAATGTGTATATAGGCTTTGACGGGATCAACAAACCTTAAATGCGGTTCAAAGTGAAGCCACTTCTTCAAGGTGTTATGATAAATTCTCTTGAACTCAGATTAAATTGGCAGGAGAGCTAATCAACAAACTGAATCCTGGGATGCTACGTGGCCGATAAACACGGCAGGCAGGAACATGGCGCTCTTCCGCCTTGAAGGAGAGAAAGTGACGCTCGCCTACCTTTCACTTATCGGGGGACTTTGGCTGAGTAACACTGATTATCCTCCCTGTTTGCTGGCGTAACATTGATTACCGTCTCCCGGTGCCAGGAGCCCCTCTGAGAGGATCATTGCTCTTAATCCTTTGACCTAGCTACCTCTCCTCAACACACCTTGGATTAGGTCCTCCGGTGGCTGCCTGGCACTCAGGGAAATAGGGTAAACAATTAAGAGATTAAGTGGCTTGGGCTAAATGTTGGTCTTCCCCTACTGAGAGGACCCATTCTGGTCCATAATGCGCTGGTCTGGGCTCACTCCCAAACCCTTTTCTTGTTTTGGTTCCAATGACAGGCTTATATGCTCACTGTCACTAAGATGGGCTCTCCATCCTTTACTCTCTTTGCAATATATTTCTTTTTTTTTTTCTCCTTTGCATTCGCACACAAACACTCAGAAGAGCACTGTATTCAATGAAAGAAAAAACTGATTCCTCACAGAACAAAGCCCTTCAGAGCTACTGATCTCATTGCACAGTTCAGTAATTTCTGGATTATAAAACAAGGCCACATTTATTCAGAGGCGCAGTTTCAGCATAGTTTGGCAAAGAGGTGATGACAAAGCAAGACTGCAGGATGACTCAGTCTATGTTGGCAGTCTGTGCCATCCAGTTCTGAAGCATATTAAATCCTCCGCAGTGGTCATCTGAGGTAAAACTGTTGCCAGGTTTGTTTTGAGGCTCATTAGGCTGGCCCGCGCTGATTACTCATGGACAATCAGGTCACTGCAGTTGCCCGATACAAGTGATAATAATGCATAACAAAAAGAACACATTTTAGTGACAATCTTGGCCTGAATACGCTACTTATAAATCCACTCAGCTTTAGGAAAAAGGCTTACACAGGGGCAGACACAGACAATGGTATTAGTGTTGGATGCTCATTAAGATAACAGGCTATCTGTGCGTGTGATCAGCCTGACTGACAATAAGATATGCTGAAGCTGCAGGCGGTGTGCCGCACAGTCCGGAGGTAAGTACTTGACACCAACAGTCAGTCACAAAGACAGAAAGATGGACAGATAGAGAGATGGCCTGTCTACAGAACGGGTACAAAAGTGACAGGTAAAGTCACCCCCACCGCATTCATTGACTGACAGAGTGAGGATTATCTGCGAGACAGGCCGCTATAGGACAAAACGAAGAAGATGGCGAAGCAGACAGACACTGACGTACACATGAGCTTACAATACACGTGTTCAGCTGCCATTTTTCTCACCTCGTAGCGGCGACTTCATGGCTGCTTCCACCATGCCCACCAGTAGCTGGAGGCTCTTGGGGTCTTGGGCCAGCCCGGAGGCGAAGGCGGCCAGAGCGTCGGCATGGCGACCAAGGTACTGAAGGGCAACACCCTGTCGGAAGTATGCCTGCAGAGAGAGAGGGAAAGAGGTAACAGACAGAGTTATCAGGGCTCCAGTCTTTCGCCACAGCATGAGGCTTTATTCAAACACATTAACAGACACACTCATTTCACGCCATTTGCATTTTTTCCACATGAGCAGTTTTCCGAACATGGCACCTCTCTCCTTTGTATTCCCATAATAGAGTGATCACTGGGTTTTTTGTACTTGTTAATTGGATTATAAGTTTTACATAAATGCACATGTTACACTCTGGCTGGCTGCCTTCTCAGGAGCAACTATTGTTTTTCTATTGAGTGTTTTGGGTTGTTGTTTTTTTTTTTCTTCTTCTTCTCTGTTTGCTGTGGGAGTAAACTGCACAAGTAGAGCGCTGGGATTTCTGTTTGGCTGTGTAAGAAAAAAGTCAAGAGAAAGAAAAAGGAGAATGAGACAGAGCTACTTACTGAAGTCTGTCTGTAGCTCCAAAAGGAACACTCATAAATACTTTAAATTGTGCATTCCCTTTGACAGGACGCCGTTGTAAAATAGTAACACAACTGGCCGGATTCTGTTTATGCCATATTTTTTACATCAGATATGTACTTGTGTCACTTTTTGGGTACGTGAATGGCTCTTCAAACAGACAAAAATTAAAAAGATTTGTCATCCACTCATTTATTCATGGCGCTGAGACAGTCACATCTTTGGAAGTATAATAATTCAGTACCACTGAGACATTAACTGCATCTAACTTGTGACATACTGTATCTTTCTGTGAGAGACTAAAAATGCTTTGGAACATTCTGCAGACTGAAACCTAAAACAGACGCTGTCTCTCTGATCCAAAGCCCCATCAATAAGTGTGTTTTTTTTCCCCAGCATGTCTGTTTGGACTCACTAGAGAAAAGACATGTTTCATCCAGGCGAGTGTGTTTGTGTCTAAGGCCTGATCAGACAATAATCCTAGTGAGTTGGTAAACCTGACTCCGGTCCAGTCTAACAACAGCAGCAAAAAAGAAGATGGAACAACATTCAGCTCATTATTCACGATCCAAACCACTAAATCCCCTCAAGAGAAAGCAAACTGTCTCTCAGAATAGTCATAACTGGGCTCGAGTCTCAGAAACACGCAATTACAGCAGTAAAGCATGGGGGAAATGAGGGATGAGCATTGTGTGAGGCAAAGAAACAACAGACTCTGTCTCAAATTTAAACTGTCATGTTTAGACTTCTTGTTTTTATGGTGTCTTTTGCTTGTGTGGGGCTGCAGCAGTCCAGACTGTCTGCTGGCCACCTCCTCGCTGAGCAGGCAGTCACTCCACTCACTGCTTCCAAAAGTGACACTAGGGCTAATTTGCCATTAGCATCTAAGAGGCCTTTTCATTAGTCTTCCCAAGCTTCTCTGTTAGCACCACGAGGAAGTGAGAAAGGCGGGGAGGATTAGGGAAAATGAGACATGACATCGAATTTATAGAGACCAGTAATTAATTTTGCTTCCGTCCAAGCCCCCCCACCGACTACCAATCTCTCTCCAGACCCGCTGCCCTCCCTCAACATTTCTACCTCCCTCTGCTTGCATCACAACTCCATTGAAAATGACGAGGACAGAGATTAAATTCAAAGCATTAACCTTTGTTCTAACACTGTTATTATATGAGGGGAGCGCGGACCAGGGTATCCGCTCAATATTAATTGCATCTAGTGGCGGTGGAGTTTGGGCAGGATACGTTAGGGTTGAGAGGCCCACAAACGTTTCGCCCAAGGGAACGAAAGACATTTAAAAGCACTTCTCCCTTTGATTAGATTTACCCTGCAATATGACTGCTCTCCCTTTCATTCTCCTAAGCGCCGTGCCCCGGCTGAGACGACCGGGGGGAAAGAAGATGAGAAAAAACGATGAATAAAATAAGGCCCGCTTCAAACAAAAATTGGCATCTTCTTTAATCATGTCATTGTTGCCCGTCCCGTCCAACGTAAGGTTGAAAGACTAGACCGGGCAGAGAATGCATTAAAATCCTGCAAACCCAAGCAGCAAAATAAATGCACGAACAAAAGCACCACGGCAAAAAATGACAGGATCAATGTGCCGTACAACCTTATGTGATTTTTTTTTTCTCCCATTAATCCCCCACTGCCTTCAAAACACATTTTTTTTGTTTTTTTTTTTTTCTCCCATTAATCCCCCACTGCCTTCAAAACACATCATGTGGCTGCACAAAGACGTACACATGATATAACCTCAGCCTTTGCATAATCCAACAAGTCAATTCAAGCAGGGGCTGCTTATAAAACAGAGGGTTCAATTCAATTTACATTACAGTGGCTGAATACTAATTACAGACAATGGCGGGAGTGATACTGATGAAAGGCTCAAGATAAACTGAATCTGACATCCTTAAGTAAAAGCCTGAATAAGATAGGACACCACTAAGTCGCACATAAGAGCTAAAGCTGCAGAAATAACACCAACAGGTTGGCTATGCTGTCGGCAGAAAGCGTCTTGAGTGAAGGGAGAGCAAGATTTTACCCCTACACATTTTTTTTTTTTAAATCCACGCTTAACAGGATCTTTTCTAAAAACACAGCAGTATCTGCTCCGAGCCGCTGCTACAGTGATTAGCGCAGCCTCTAGCTCTTTGCCAGAGACAGAAATTGAGAGAAAGAGATAGAGTGATGTTCAGTAGAAGGGAAAAGAACGAAAGACAGAGCATTACAGCGACAGAAAGTGCTCCACAGATTAACTTTGCCCTGTCAACATACAGCATCAGATACAAAACTGAATGGTACAAGTCAGCGCTTAAGCTTTCAGCCAAATACCAGCTCCCTAAACAGGATGCATAATAGAAAATCACTCAAAGCGAAGTTCTCACAGACAACATGCCCTCCTGAAATGTGACACATCTGTTAGGCATCTTGTACAACATGACACCCACAAACCAAGACTTCTAATAATGTGTTTTGCCTGGAATTCAATCCGGAGTAAATTATTGAACTTTCCTGCATCCTTAGCCTCCTGTATTTAATGCAGCAATGTGCTGATACCACAGAAGACTGTATGGAAGAGGGAAGGTTCGTCGTTCTCACCCGTGGGTAAATCCCGAGAGCGCTAATACGCATGTGCATCGCTACATGTGTGTTTTTGTGTGTGTGTGTGTGTGAGCAAAAAGAGAGAGGGAGAGAAAGAGAGAGGCTACAAAACACTTACGAGTAAGAGAGAGGATAAAAGCTTTTCTTCTTTCTCCAACATTTTAATATTTCATGAATGCTTGTTTGATGTAGTTTTAAATATTCATGTTTTTATGCTTAGGAGGAAGAGGGAAATGATGCAAAAAAAATAAAAAAATCACTCTGATATACAGTGCTGCACACTGTGAGGCACCAACGTTCTCCACGCACACGCACACACACACACACACACGCACACACACACACACGAATAAGCTCGAGACCACGATCGCATACGCTCTCTTTTGCTCTAACAAGGCACTTACAATGAAACATGGACAATTTTCTTCAAGTGACAGCTCTGTTGTTCACAATAAGGCTCACAGTCGGAGCAGCTGAACAGAAAGTTGACAAGATTAAGATTGTAAGTTTGGCGCAAGACCAGCTGTTGGAGGCTCTTTTTCTATTAGCAGATTAATGTCTCGGCAGATGTCCTTGCCCCCTTCTTAGGCTCCTCTTCAGTGTACTATAACCCCAGGGGCGTCCTCAGCCCCTGGGAGCACGTCTGTGTTTGCACTTGTCTATCCTTATTCAAGATCTGGGCCTAACAGGCTTAAAGGAAGAATTCAATGAAAATGTATTTTGACTGGCTGCGCTGTTGCAACAAATTGATGTGAACATCGAGCGAGTATGATCTGGCATACGGCAATGAAGATTTACTGTATCAAAGCATCCTGCTTGATACAAATGACTGTACATAGCTCCTTATGTAGCACTTTATAGTAGGATGAATGCTGACAAAGCATTCACACCGTTGTGGAAAACCTTGTTCAGTCAAAAGGTCATTGCGTATGTCCACAATGCATCCTCCATCTGAGTTCATTTCCACAGGTTTCGCTGGAAAATGTATTAAATGTAGTGACTAAATGCATACTAAACATCTACTTGTTTACTCTTCCCAGAATATGTCAGTTTCAGCAGGAAATCAAATTGCCTGAGTAATTTGTAAATGCTTTGTATCAAGGGCACTGGAGCTGGAAATCTGCCCATGTTCAGGTTCTTTACAAACAGCTGAAGCTGCTTTCTGCCACACATTCAGAGGTGTAAAATCTCAACGGCATTGATGTCTCTCTAAACAAATAGCATAACTCCTCGTACACAATGTAGGCGACCTGTCACTGAACCGACACTTCCAGCTGTGCCCCAGTAGCCCACGGCCTTGTGCAGCTTGCTGAGTCCTGATCGGTGATCAGCAATAATAGAGATGCACTCAAATGTGGAAATCGATAAAGGCAGCGTAAGCTCCATTTAGACCGTGCCACACCCTTCGCCGCTGTTTAGGATACGCCTGCTGCAGATGGTTTCTGATCCCCCACAGGGCAAGTAGTGCCAGTGCAACGACTCTGAACAGAAACCCCGCGGGCGACATAATGGAACCCAAATCAGTCCATCAAATAGGGACAGCAGGCTACAAATACACAGCACACACACACACAAATACAAACTGTAGAAAAATACGTCAATATCTCCTCGAGAAAACCAACCATCTGTCTCCAACAAACATGTATTACTTGAAATCAGCTTTCCACACAGGCCAGGATGCTGGGATGAGATTAACACTAATAGTGTGACAGGAACAAAGGGATTGCTGCTGTTCTTCCCTCTTTGCTCTTTAACTATAGGTGTTGTTGCCTGGTTTCCAGTGTGTGGCCCAGAAATGTCATGTGTCGACCAGGGTTTAAGACATGCACTGGCGACATCCCTTGCACATCTCTGCCTCTACACTTTCAAGGTGACACAGTCGATTCGCAGGGTACACAAAATGTCAGCTGCTTAATTTAATATCCAGGGATAACTGTCGA